CCCATACACCTCTTCCCACACACACCTTAGCTCCCCCACCCCTGTAAACCCCACCCCCACAAGTAAGTTCAAAATCTAAAAATGTCATCGATCGAGGGTGGGGGTGGGGGTGGGGGTGGGAGAGCAGAGCAAGCACGAAGAAGCGCCCTAATAGGGGGAGGTAATCGAATTATAATTGAGAAAGACACCTCCGGCTTCATTTTCCACATCCGGGTTCTAGTTTCTATCTGGCGAAACGCGACGTCGTCCCCGGAAATAAGACGATTGTTTTAGCCTTTGGGCATGCGCAGCAGGAAAAGAAAGAATGGAGATTGTCAAACCTATCGTACGCTTATGGTAGCAAAATATCACGTCAGATTGCTAATAACAAAACGAAACTGTTTTAATTGAGCAGAAAAATTGTTGATTTGTCGTGCCAAATTTTTTTAAATACATCGAAATCTCAATTATTAATTCATGAATTCTCCATAAATCTGTTACAGGACTTTAAAATCCCAAGGACAATTAAGCTTTAGAAAATAAGTTGGTTTATCGTTTCCGCGCCCTACTGAGTTTGATTTCCGGTTTCTAAAAATAGTTGCTGTAGTACAACTCAGGAGAATAGACGAGGGTTTTGGCTGTTTAATGTTTCAGTCCCCGCTGGGTTAGGGTTTGGCTTTCAACATTAAAATCTCCGGGGTATTCGCTCAAACAAATTAACTCACTAGTTCCATTGTGTGAGGGTTTAATATTTTGGCGAGCATAACTGGCAAGTAGCTAGAAGTAGATTGATGAGAAAATGACAAACTGGCAAGTAGCTAGAAGTAGATTGATTAGAAAACGACACTGGCAAAAGTAGATTGACTAGAAAAGGACAAACTGGCAAGTAAATACAAGTAGATTGATTAGAAAATGACAAACTGGCAAGTAAATGCAAGTAGATTGACTAGAAAATGACAAACTGGCAAAGCAGATTGACTAGAAAATGACAGACTGGCAAGTAAATACAAGTAGATTGACTAGAAAATGACAAGCTGGCAAGTAGCTACACGTAGATTGATGAGAAAATGACAAACTGGCAAGTAGCTAGAAGTAGATTGATTAGAAAACGACACTGGCAAAAGTAGATTGACTAGAAAAGGACAAACTGGCAAGTAAATACAAGTAGATTGATTAGAAAATGACAAACTGGCAAGTAAATGCAAGTAGATTGACTAGAAAATGACAAACTGGCAAAGCAGATTGACTAGAAAATGACAGACTGGCAAGTAAATACAAGTAGATTGACTAGAAAATGACAAGCTGGCAAGTAGCTACACGTAGATTGATTAGAAAATGACAAACTGGCAAGTAGGTACAAGTAGATTGACTAGAAGATGACATTCTCAGTTTTAAAATCTCCCCATTCCTAGCAAAAGCAGTCCTGGTCTTTAAATATCTCTGATTTTCTAGATTTACCGTATCATGCGCCATGAAAAGCTAAGATTAAAACGTCTTACATTGCATTATTAGCGATAATTAGCAAATTATTTTCCGGACTTCCATTTGTCGTCAAACAAATCTAGCCACCACCCACGTGTTGTCTGTATTGTCACGTGACTACACTCGCAGACACGTGACTTAGAGGTTAATTAACCTTCTGGGAGAATTGATTCATTTAGCCACCTGTCTCCACGCACGTCGATAAGTTTTAAGATTATTTTTGAAGACATGTTTCTCGCTTTGTCTTTCAACGGGGACCATACATTGCCTTTGTTGATGGGTTTCTAAAACCAAACGAACGAAAAGTAATTTATATAGAAAACGTATACTTTTACCAGTGTCCGCCCCCCCCCCCCCCTGGAAAATGTTAATCGCCCCGCCGAAAATACTATTCCCCCCCCCCCCCCCGGAGAAAAAAGTCTGGAAGAAGTCTGAATTTTTCAAAATTAATTATATTAAATTTTATGTACAGCCCATTCGTTTATTATAGTGTTAGACCAATCAGCACTACTTCTAAAATTAATGTCCCGTTGACCTATTGACCCCTGTCCGTTTGACCTATTTATCCGTGGAATAAGTACTGCTGACCTAAAGCCAATATTGTCTGGCGTCAACCACATCACGTGACCCAAACGTCTCTAATGTTAGACTAGACTTGGACTGGACTTGGCATTTTACTTCTTTTCAGATTATTCAATGAGACATTCAAAATAACCAGATTATTAGACATTAGAATCAGTGGCGTAGCGAGGTCGGGTGTCACCCGGTGCGGCACTTAATGGTGTCACCCCCCCCCCAGAGGAGTAGCGACCCTTCCCGGGGACAAACTTTCAATTTTCGATTTGTACCCCCCCCCCTCAAACTTTCGATTTGCACCTCTTAAAAGACTCGAATTAATCACTTAATTAAGTGGAATTATCATTTTTCTCTATATACTTTGCTATTATTTGCCTTGGTGTCACCCCCTAAATGGTGTCACCCGGTGCGGCCCCCCCCCCCTCTCCCCTCGCTACGCCACTGATTAGAATAAAACACAAATTTCACACACAAGTTTATGCTATTTTTAAGAATAGAAACCTCTTCCAGAGTAACTGTCCCCGCACCCCGATTATCTGCGCCCTCCCCCCCCCCCCCCAATCACTGCCCCACCACTGAGTCACTGTCTCCCAACGAATCACTGCCAGAGTCCCTGCCTCGATTTACTGCCCCAGAGTCAGTGCCCACCGAGACGATGTTTCTAAGAATGAACACCACGTGAATCTCACATATCTTGTACTCTACTGGAATCTCCCTTCATCCTATTAGAACCAAATCTAATATTCCAAGAACGCGTGTGCGTGTTTAATTATTCCTGTTTTAAAGATTGAAACAATGGCCGGTATTTTAGCTGATCAATGATAGCACTGTATGCCCTGTTGTCTGTAAGAGTTCTATAATTAAACACGCTATTATGTCCGGTAAAAAAGGTGACGTATACAAAGGCACGTGCGTTTGTGTGAGTCGTAAATAGGTCAAGCAAAACACGGCATGCAGAAATTCAGGGCAAATGTGAGTTCACGTGTCAGTAACGTTCAGGGTGAAGGTCATTGAGCTAAACATTTTTTTTCTGTTTTTATTGGAGTTTTACAAGTTAGAATTATTTTGTTTGATTTTTGTTTGTATTGGAATTTTTAAACTCAAAATTGAACCGTTACTGATAAAGTGATTTTTTTCCAAACCACGCACATAGTGTTTTTTTTAATGACAAGACATTGATATTTTAGTCTAAATCTAATTAGCTTTTAAATAACATCAAAAATTAATAAAGCTGTATATTAACAAAAGGGGAAATAACTATTGTGGTAAGGATTCGTCGAGTGAAACGGTGTTCTTGAACTATGTGATCTTTTACACCAAGAAATAATACGTGTTATAACTTTTCTTGGAGACTTTATCGGTTTTGTTTTCGATTTTAAGCCATTGTTTAAGAACTAGTTTTTTTTAAAAAAAATACATGAGTTCTATTCATGCAAGCAAGTTGTACTTCATCTACTCGCGAAATGACGAGTTTGGATTCAATATTTATGTTAGGGTGCTTGCGGACTTAATTAAGATCGGCCGCTTTAGCAATAATGAATATTGCATTAATTGTTATTAAAAAATACAGCTACAATGTTACAATGTTACACTTTTTTTTCCTTTGATTGACCTACAGGCCTAGAGTAACAAAAGCATATTTGCTTTTGAATTCATTTCAATAAATATAACGATCATAGTAAGGTTTCATCCTCTACCTTTTAAAACCCATGAAACATTTTTTTTTCTTTATTTCCCATTTTGGTGCATTTAGAAGCTAAAAGTTTAAATTTAAGTCCATCAGCTATTTTTTCAATATATTAATTAAAGAAAAGTTAGTCTATGCGATGATTGTCGTTTTATTTTCCGCTAAGTCAACTTGTAAACGAAGTCATCTTTTGCTAAGTCGACTTTTAAACAAAGTCAACTGTCGCTAAGTCGACTTTTAAGCGAGGTCATCTTTCGCTAAGTCATCTTTCCCTAAGTCATCTTTCAAACAGTCATCTTGTGACGTCGGAGCATGTCCTATGAAAAAAGTGTACCGCGATATTCGAACGGCTGAGACCAAAGTAGACAAAAACCTTTTATTTATTGATCGTTTGCCCATTCAAAACATACAAAAAAACCTCAAATACACGTAGCACCTACTTCGCCTGACACCGGAGTGAAGAATTAGATCAAAAAATCATTAGTCGACAAAAATTCTTTGACCACACTAGAATAAACCTAACGATTCTATTAATTCAAATTTATATTGATTCAATATTGAAATTGTAAAATCTATTTTATAATAGTTTTTTTTAAATCCATTCTAACTAGTGACACTTTACAAATGTGTAGAAATGGGGCTGGGTTAAGTAAACATTTGTTTAGTGTTAAGATCTGCCAAAGCAATTGTTTCGGTCACGTGGTGAGGTGGGCCACCTTCTGTCTGTACAAGTTGTGTACACAGACCTGACAGGTACGCTGGTGCCGGGCCAGTGGTCCGATACATGTGGCCCGTGTGGCCCGATCCCACAATCCCCTGCGTGACACGGAAGCTGGCAACAAGAGCTGCTGGGAGAAGTCCTTATTGTTTGATCACGTGATCCGGTCATCTCCCCCAACTAAAAATGAACGCTAATTATATTGTTTAATTTGCCTATAATGAATCGATTGGTGGAATTATGGATTAATTGAATAACATGAAGTGCATTTCCACAGCTTTGTGATGGATATCTCGAGAGAAAAATTCCCACTATTTATTTTTAATTTAATGTCTTTACATAACATTATAATTATATTGTGTTTAAAATTCGATAAAGAAAATATTTTAATTTAATGTAAAACAGTAAACAGCGTTATATAAAAGTTAGATCTACAATTTAATGTAATCTATTGTTACATTTTAAATTGGCCTATTCAATTTCAATTTTCTGTTAATTTTTGTAAAGCAGAAAAAAAAATTTCTTCTTCTAATTTTAAGATTTTTTTTTTCTTTTCAGATAAAAAACAAAATGGCGGTTTCGCAGAATTTGTTACTACTGCTCGTTGCGGCTGTCGGCTGCTGCTCGTCTGCCAGCATCGCCGGTCAAGGTCAGGAAAAGCAGTTGACAAACCAAGGGTTATCTGCCCACAACTTGCAGAGCTGGGACGACTGGGTCAAGAAACGAAACGGGGCTCCCTGGGTCACTTCCGGCCTCTCTCGGGACAAGCTTCAGCAGTGGAAGGACTGGGCGTACAAGCGAGGCTTCGGTGACGTGGTGCCAGACGAGCAGTTCGGGACGCTGGACAAGACCCGCTTCCAGGGATGGAAGGACTGGGTGGCCAAGCGAGGGGACGGGAAAGGCTTCAGCGAGGCCAACAACGACGAGCTGCTACGGTGGAACAACATGAACAGCCTCCAGAGCTGGGAGGACATGATCAAACGACACTTTCCTTACGACTCGACGGGCCTCAACGGTTTAAACACGGGGGATCTCCAATCTTGGCAGGATTGGAACAAACGCTTCCAGACCTTCGGTGCACATTCTCTCGACAGCAATGGCGACCTCATGAGTTGGGGCGACGCTGAGAAGAGGTCTGCCGACAAGAGATTCAAAACATTGGGTGCTTTTGGTACTCATTCGATGGATGGGAACGACGATTTGATGAGTTGGGGGGAAAAGAAGTCTGCCGACAAGAGATTCAAAACATTGGGTGCTTTTGGTACTCATTCCGTAGATGGGAACAACGACGACTTAATGAGTTGGGGAGAAAAGAAATCTGCCGACAAGAGATTCAAAACATTGGGTGCTTTTGGTACTCATTCCATGGATGGGAACAACGACGATTTAATGAGTTGGGGGGAAAAGAAGTCTGCCGACAAGAGATTCAAAACATTGGGTGCTTTTGGTACTCATTCCGTGGATGGGAACAACGACGACTTAATGAGTTGGGGAGAAAAGAAGTCTGCCGACAAGAGATTCAAAACATTGGGTGCTTTTGGTACTCATTCCGTAGATGGGAACAACGACGACTTAATGAGTTGGGGGGAAAAGAAGTCTGCCGACAAGAGATTCAAAGCAGCAAGTGCTTTTGGTACTCATTCCGTAGATGGGAACAACGACGACTTAATGAGTTGGGGGGAAAAGAAGTCTGCCGACAAGAGATTCAAAACATTGGGTGCCTTTGGTACTCATTCCATGGATGGGAACGATGATTTGATGAGTTGGGGAGAAAAGAAATCTGCAGACAAACGATTCCAGAATTTAGGCGGTTTCGGAATGCATTCCCTGGACAACTCCGGTCACCTGACGAGCTGGGAGGACGGCGCCAAACGAACAGACGACAAACGACGACTGGTGCGTCTACCGCAAGCCTTCGGCAACCACAACAAGCTGTTTACCAGCGACCTCCAGGACTGGACGTCTTTCGACAGTTCCAAACGTAGCAAGGCTGACGCAGCAGTCAGGCAGTAGATTGTTTGCCAGCACAACTGTGTCCCCACCCCCCAGGGTTCACGTCCATCCACCCTGCGGGCTGCAGACGTTTTAAATTAAAACGCAAATAATTTATTTGTGTGTGTCAATGCGTCAGTGTTACCAGCAACTAAATAGACTCAGTTTATATTTCGTTACAATCCCTCTAATTTAGCACATTTTACTCGCACAAGAAATTTTTATGAAACTTTGAAACTCAAATAGCTCTGTCGTATTTTTAATTTCATACACAGTTTCGTGATACAAGCAGAAACTATTTCATCGAGATGACCCCAGAAAACTAATTACACTGTTTAACACTGTTTAACCTCAAACTTTGGTAATATCATGGGTTAAATTTATTTCCAAAATGTGTGTAATCTTTCCTCAGTTGTATTCATGCTTTGCCAGTTCCTGCGGTTTGCTTGGCTTTGTTGTTTATATAGCAACTAGATACACACTGTAACTATCCTGGTGTTCAGTGCATCCAAATAATACAAGCCTAAGTGCACCCAAATAATACAAGCCTAAGTCTAACCTTTGAGTTGATCCACTAAAACCCTAACCTCAGTTTAAACACTGTATACTCTGTAGCTATATTTTTGAAAATGAAACAACGTTTATTAAATAAAATGTGATTACCGCCTCTTGCCTTGTTGTTGATTTCACTGGCCAGATGCATTGTGGGTTGTATGTTTGTACTTAGGTGATTGGGATTGTGGGGTGTCAGCTTGTACTTAGGTGATTGGGATTGTGGGGTGTCAGCTTGCTCTGATGTGATTGGGATTGTGGAAGTCAATTTGCCCTCGGTGATTGGGATTGTGGGGTGTCAGCTTGCTCTGATGTGATTGGGATTGTGGGGTGTCAGCTTGCTCTGATGTGATTGGGATTGTGGGGTGTCAGCTTGCTCTGGTGTGGTTGGGATTGTGGGGTGTCAGCTTGCTCTGGTGTGGTTGGGATTGTGGGGTGTCAGCTTGCTCTGGTGTGATTGGGAATGTGGAAGTCAATTTGCCCTCGGTGATTGGGATTGTGGGGTGTCAGCTTGCTCTGGTGTGATTGGGATTGTGGAAGTCAATTTGCCCTCGGTGATTGGGATTGTGGGGTGTCCGCTTGCTCTGATGTGATTGGGATTGTGGGGTGTCCGCTTGCTCTGATGTGATTGGGATTGTGGGGTGCTCTAACGTGATTAAGGGTAGGGTTTTGGGTTGTCAACGTGTACTGCGGTAGTCGGATATAAGAGTATACATACTTAAAGTTTCCATACCTCTGTCGGATGATAGATACTACAACACACGCAAGACTCCTTCATTGTGTATTCTCTTCCCCCGCCCCCTCCCCCCCCCCCCCCCCCCACACACACACACTCACTATCGGAGAGATGCTCGAAAGAACAGACATTTTGAATTTTGCATTATATCTAAACTGTCGAGCACTTATGAAGCCTGCATTCTTCTAGCTTTTTAAAACAAGAAACAGCTTAAAATACCTCTAGGGACAAACAATGAACATTAATTAATTAATCATTTGAAAACAGAGTTTGGCATTCATGTTAATTTTATTATTGAGTAGTCATGTAATTTTAGCAGTCATGTAATATTAGCAATCATGTAATTTTAGCAGTCATGCAATATTAGAAGTCATGGCATTTTAGCAGTCATGTAATTTTAGCAATATGTAATTTTAACAGTCATGTAATTCAGCAGTCATGTAATTCAGCAGTCATGTAATTCAGCAGTCATGTAATTTTAGCTCACGACAAATGGGCTCCCGACAAATGGGCTCTCGGCAAATGGGCTCTAGACATATTGGCTCCTGACCAATGAATCGTATGACCGCTATTGGCATAAAGTAACCATTTTGTTCTACCTCCACTACCACTGTTACCTTTTTTAAATGCCTGAATGAAATTGTTTTTCGTGAACCAACAGCAATAAACAAACAGATCGAGCCCTTAATAGCTAAATTCAACCAATTCTAAAATTTTGATAATTTTTTACTTACAACGGTAAAGATCAGTTGCTTAAAAGCGAGCACAGAAGTGTAAATGTATGATATATATGATATTTACAGGGTAACTGCATTTTCTTTTGATAACCTACAAGCATACTGCATGTAGGAAGGTACAGTGTGGATTCCTCTCCCCACACACTGAGTTGGAACAGCCTATAACCGACTCATTTATGGAAGTCATAGATAGATGACCATTAAATTTATAACATACTATTTCTTATACTAAATAAAATCATTTTTTTAAATAAGGCCTGCCGCACAAGAGATGCATAGGTTGTATTACTTAAGAGTCTTGGCTACGTTAACTCTAAAGAATATTGATGAAGGGGTGTCACTGACAGGCGTCATATTCAATGAAGACGTTTCGCTGGGATAGTCCTACGGAAACCGTATCGATGGGGCCCTTTTGTCGGGAGCCTAAATGACTGGAGCCCATTTGTCGGGAGTCTAAATGATAGGGTCCAAATGTCGCTGGCCCTTTTGACAAGGCTTTTATGCCGGGGCGGATTTGACGGGGCCGTATTGACACCGAGCGCTGACATGTAAATATTAAACATCACCATAGATGCGAACAGAACTTTTATTCCACCATAGTATCATAAAAACTTGTCGATAAAACATTATCAAACACACAGTAAACAAGTTTTTACTGGTGTAAACGTGATACGTTACAATGAAAAAAAAATTCCGTTGCTCGAAAAAATAAAAATAGAATAAATAAAACCGCAAATTAAAATAATTAAAACAAATCAATAACATATCATAATGAAATGTTGAAAATTTTCAGTTGTGCCCCTTCACTTTCAGTTTGACACCAAGATTCTCAAGTTACCTCCCTTGAGTAATTTTTTTTTAATGTGGAAGACAAGTCAGTCTGAGAAGTGGCTTAAAGAAGCGAGACAACTCACTGTGCTTTGTGAGCAAAGGGAATGAACACACTTGAGAGAGACGACAAGACTGGTGAGCCCAGGGCATTATGGGAGCGTTGTGGTGGATGTGGTGAGCATCTTATTAGTTCCATGACAGATGGTGACCACAAAAAGTATTACAGATGGTGACCACAAAAAAGTATTACAGATGGTGACCACAAAAAGTATTACAGATGGTGACAACAAAAAGTATTACAGATGGTGACAACAAAAAGTATTACATATGGTGATCAGAGAAGGTTGTATTACAGATGGTGACAACAAAAAGTATTACATATGGTGATCACAAAAAGTATTACAGATGGTGATCAGAGAAGGTTGTATTACAGATGGTGATCACACAATTATGTAATTAAGTTCAAATGGTGAGACGAAAGGTTTACTGGGATTACAGATGGTGACCAAAAAACCGATGTAATTGTCTTACAAACGGATGACACCAAAGGTGACCACTGTTTGCTGCGATAGTCTGACTAATGATGACATGAGACAAAATACTCAGGTGTCAGAACTTAGTCTTGTCTTATGACTATCGACGATGACGGAACAAATTCTAGTTGTTTCTATGCGGTATTTTTGTTAAGGCCCTTTTCTGCATCAGAAGACACCATATGAACCTACAGAAGTGAATCCCACCAGACTCTATTTTAAGTGTATGGTAAATCTGTATGGATTTTCCTAAAAATATGTCTGTATTTTTCTAATATGTCTATTGGGTCACCTATCATATTGGTAATTGCTCTATTAGGCGATGTCCTTGCTAATCCTAGTGTGAGTGGTCAGATAAACTCAGGTCATACGGCACCTAGAGCGAATAAACTCAGGTCATACGGCACCTAGAGCGGATAAACTCAGGTCATACGGCACCTAGAGCGGATAAACTCTGGTCATACGGGACCTAGAGCGAATAAACTCAGGTCATACGGCACCTAGAGCGGATAAACTCAGGTCATACGGCACCTAGAACGGATAAACTCTGGTCATACGGGACCTAGAGCGGATAAACTCAGGTCATACGGCACCTAGAGCGAATAAACTCAGGTCATACGGCACCTAGAGCGGATAAACTCAGGTCATACGGCACCTAGAGCGAATAAATTCAGGTCATACGGCACCTAGAGCGGATAAACTCTGGTCATACGGGACCTAGAGCGGATAAACTCAGGTCATACGGCACCTAGAGCGGATAAACTCAGGTCATACGGCACCTAGAGCGAATAAACTCAGGTCATACGGGACCTAGAGCGGATAAACTCAGGTCATACGGCACCTAGAGCGGATAAACTCAGGTCATACGGCACCTAGAGCGGTCGGACGCCACAAGAATGGAGTCAGCAATGTAATGACCTGTTCGGGGGTGGAAGGTCCTCCCGGCTCAAATCCCATGTTTCTATCACCCCCACATCCCATGTTTCTATCCACCCCCCCCCCCCCCCCCCACATCCCATACAGACGATAACTTGATTTCCGGCCCAGCCATGCCGGCAGCAGAGTTTTGATCGAGCCGGAAAACCGTCTTTGACCCGGCTAATTTAGTCAGCACTAGGGTAATAGTTTTTTCCTGAGTCCAGCATCTTACTACACGGAGGGGTGGGGGCGGAGGGGTGGGGGCGGGATGTAAGGAGGGGTGGGGGCGGGATGTAAGGAGGGGTGGGGGCGGGATGTAAGGAGGGGTGGGGGCGGGATGTAAGGAGGGGTGGGGGCGGGATGTAAGGAGGGGTGGGGCGGGATGTAAGGAGGGGTGGGGGCGGGATGTAAGGAGGGGTGGGGCGGGATGTAAGGAGGGGTGGGGTGGGATGTAAGGAGGGGTGGGGGGCGGAGGGGTGAGGGCGGGATGTAAGGAGGGGTGGGGGCGGGATGTAAGGAGGGGTGGGGGCGTGATGTATATCATAAAACTTACTATGAGTGGTGTGGCGTTTTGTGGGTGTGGTTTTAAAAACCACACCTCAGACTAAGATTGTCAGTCATTTATTTCATAAAAATTTTGATTACTGACTGCCTTGAGGCAAAACTCCATTAAAGTATTTTAATGGAACTCTCTCGACGTTTAAATGTCATTAAATTTCATTTTAATTTAATTCAAACGTCGCGGCTAATATAAAATAATTTTCTTCAGCCTCCAGGGTCATGGGGTCTGGCCTGTGAAGTACAGATATATGTTTCAGACTTTTCTGGTGGGGTTGACAAGTCTAGTATGTGTACAGATAGATGTCTCAGACTTTTCTGGTGGGGTTGTCAAGTCTGGTCTGTGTACAGATAGATGTCTCAGACTTTATCTGCTGGGGTTGTCAAGTCTGGTCTGTGTACAGATAGATGTCTCAGACTTTTCTGGTGGGGTTGTCAAGTCTGGTCTGTGTACAGATAGATGTCTCAGACTTTATCTGCTGGGGTTGTCAAGTCTGGTCTGTGTACAGATAGTTGTCTCAGACTTTATCTGCTGGGGTTGTCAAGTCTGGTCTGTGTACAGATAGTTGTCTCAGACTTTTCTGGTGGGGTTGTCAAGTCTGGTCTGTGTACAGATAGATGTCTCAGACTTTTCTGGTGGGGTTGTCAAGTCTGGTCTGTGTACAGATAGATGTCTCAGACTTTTCTGGTGGGGTTGTCTGGTCTGTGTACTGATGGATGTCTCAGACTTTTCTGGTGGGATTGTCTGGTCTGTGTACTGATGGATGTCTCAGACTTTTCTGGTGGGGTTGTCAAGTCTGGT